GGCCGAAGCGGGCTTAGCGCTATACTGATGTTGGCTGCCAGTGTAATTTCGGTGTGAATTCATAATATCACAAATAGCAGCATAATACTGGACCAACGCAGAAAGGTACCCCACTTTTTGTAGTGGCCGAACTGCAGGGGTAGCCACTACCGTACAAAGGAGTCTAAGCAAACTAGACAGCCGGTATAATCATGTATTTTACACAGTTCCATCCAGCGGACGTTTAGCTGCTAAGGATTTTCATTGTCTTACACTATTGCCTCTACGCTGCGAAATCTCCCATTAAAAATTTCATGCACCAGTACACGAGACGCAAATGTACGTGAAAGCTGGATTTGAAAGACTAGAAGGTGAAGATCATCCCAAAATTTCAACTTTCAAGTAACTTTCACATCAAAGCTTTTATGTGTGGTATACGAGACCTTATCAAATTAAGGAGCTAAATTCGAGTCTGTTAGGCCTCTGCACAGGTAGAATATATCCTTCTGAAATCTTCAGCATCTCCTTTTTTAATTTGCGATGCTGTATGTGAGCAGGAAAAGCTATCTTAAAATTTCAGCTTCCCAGGCTTTCGTAATTTCTGAGACAACAATTTTCTCTGCCAGAAGTTTCATGGAACCACACGTGATACTTAGGCAAATGGGAAGGTTGAATTTAAATTTGGTAGCAGAGAATTGTCCTAAAATTTCAGCCTCCTTGCTTCCGTGGTTCTCGAGATAGTAAACTCCCACCAAAAATTTCACGGGACCATCCGTGTTATTTAGGCGGACGGGAAGACTGGAATTTAAATCGTCGGTGTCGCAAGTGATAGGGAACATTACCCTAAAATTTCAGCTTTCCAGCTTTCGCGGTTCCCGGGATAATAATGATTCTCGCCAAAACTTTCACGAAGTCATACGTGGTACCCGAGGGGCATGTGAAGGCTGAATTTATATTTGCAGGGTCACATGTGGACGGAAAATATTATGCTAAAATTTCAGCTTTCCAGCTTTCGCGGTTTGGACAAAACGCGTGGGACAAGACGCACTCGGACACGCACATACACGCACACACACGCACACACATACACATACACGCAAACACATACAAACACACACACACACAAACACACACACACACAAAAGCACACACACAAAAAAACACACACAGAATCAGACACACGGATAGAGTCGTGACAATACACGTTTTATGTTACACAGCGCAAAACGCGCAAAAAAACAGGGGAGGACATACCAACAACAATCACTGGCTTTTGAAAACCAATAATTTGAGGTAGCTCCGGGTAGAGCGAGGCCGGCAAATCACACATATCGGCAACAAGTATAATCAGCGCTTCCTGTTTGAGCTTCAAATGTTCCATCATCGATCGATAATCCACTTCACATACATTTACATTCAACTGAAATTTTCGGCAGCAATACTAAAGATGGTAATGCTAATAACAACAATGATAATAACAATAATGCCAAAGTGGCAAGACCCACATAAAAATAATGCTAACGCAATAATAATGCCAAGATTGTCTTTAGCAGGTGTAGCGGATCGCCTGTAAGTGATGTTACTGCGATACTGTTACATTCTCGGCGCACTTCTGTTGCGTGATGCTAAGCTGCATAATTCCAGCTGGCGAAGCTTGTTCGGAGTACATGAGTTTTTTTTTTTTTTTGTATTTGGCAACCGCTCTAAATTTATAATTAATAAACTCCATTCCTTCTTTTCTCCTCTCTTTTTTCTCTCTTTCTTTCCTCACTTTTCTTTCTTCTTTTCCCTCCTTTTCCCTCTCTCTTATATTCCCTCCTTTCCTCCTTATCCCTGAACACCGTGACCGTCATACTGACGAAGTCTAGTCGTGGTGTTGAGCTAAGACGTATATGACTTAATGGACTGAAACGTCTCAACTCGACTGTTTTTCCTACTATTTCTCTCCTATTATTTTTTTTTCCCCTCTATATACACTTCGCTTACTTTGGCACGCATCAACATGGATGCTACAAACGGCTCACCTCCTGCCGGACCGCCCGAATAGCTGTTTAAAAAAAAAATCTCTCGCGGACACCACGCCCTGATGTACGATATTCACTGGTTGTCAGCACAACTAG